TAACGTAAGTTACTATCAAATGAAAATTACTATTTGAGAAGGAAATCAAGCTTTACAGTTGAAAGAACAATGTCATTCTTCAATGAACTGTGTGACAAGAAGAAGGGTAAACGCTGACGAGACACATTCTTTTCATTTTAATTGCTGCTCCAATTATGTATTCAACATTTCTGGAAGACAATGAGAAAAAGAGAACGTGTATACATATATATGGTCACATAAAGAAATGAGCAAACAACAATGCGACGGAGAAACTCATGTAGGAAGGAGAGAAAATAGACAAGAGTGTATGATGTATGGTTAATTGATTAGCGTCTAGAAGATGATCGGCAGCACGAAAGTGCTCGAAATATACACACTCGCATTGACGAAGAACAGTACAGTGATCAGCACACTGCTATTTAGCATATCTCAGCAGATGACGCATACAACAGAATCACGTGGCGTTGAGAAATTATTTTTCGTCTGTAACTTAAATGTGATTGATTAATTGATTGATACATTGTATGTATAGGAAAGTCAATAAAAAGTTTCTACACTTCATACCAGCTTTCGTCGCTGATCGTGAACCTCCATATGGTGTTAATCTTGGCTCCGTTGAACCGTTGGATTATCCAGCAACTTACATGGTCGACGAACGATATCCGGTCATATTGCTCGGATATCCGGTTTAGTCTATCTTTTTTGCTCTATAATAGACTATGACTCCTTCTTCTAAGCAGAAAATAGTTTCAGTATCGTACTATCAGAAATACAAGCAGAAAATTAGCAAAGTTTTGGGGGATTTTTAGCACTTATTTTGTCATTTTTGATCAGTGACAGTGAAGGCAGAGAGGCCAGATCGAGATCTATCGAACGATGTATGACAGTAATAAGTTGAACATATAAAATGACGACAAAACACGCAAAGACCTTTCAGGACAATTAGCGCAAGTTTGGGACCTTATAACTCAGCCCATAAAAGTCTGGTAGTTTGGAAATTCTGGCTACATACTCAGTAAATTATGCTGAACAAAATTTACACTTCAGATTTTTTTTAGATACACTTTCAGTTTTTTCCCTCAATTGTACAACGAATATACGATTCACTCATGTATACAGATTTGCAAAAATGTGGTAGTCTTTTTTTTGGATAATCCTTTTAGGTTACATTCATCATCTTATGGAAGAGTGAAATAAGATTTTTTTCATTGGGCAATGGCTACAAAATATTTCCAATTTTAATTTTACTCATACAATGTTCAAAAATATACCATTTTGAAAATTTAAGTGGACCACAAAGTTTTAATAAGAAATGACAACGTTTTCGGCGCTCAAAACCACATAACCGTGAGTGTAATATTAAATTGTTTAGTTAAGTTGGTAAGTTCTTCGAACTTAAAAGAATGTCGATCTTTTTCCGTTCTGTTTTATGCTATTATTCTGCTTTTCGATGTTTTTCCCGTGCTATACGCATCGCAGATATAGACGTAGAGTTCATTCTTCACGCAGACTACATACAGATAAGAGATACTACTTCTCCTCTTTTCTTTCATCGTATATACATATATTTAGTACGTATTGATTCGTTCTTTGTTTTTATATCACGTTTTTCTCACACGTGCTCGGAAAATATATTTATTTTGTTTATTAAATACAATTAGTATCGTATCACTACTTCATTTTGAACTGGAAAAGTTGGTATTAAGTTATTATTGCTTTTAACATTTTTGTAAACAAATCATAGAAGGTCTGATTTTTAAGTCAACTGATCCCAAAACGGCAGCAAATTTAGGAGCTGTATCTGCAATAGGTATGGAAACACTTGATAATGATAACGATGTATCATCAGAGGTAAGTCTATACAATTCGATTACTGTTTCTCAACCCAGTCAGTCATAGTCAGTCCAGAAAAGCGCAGGAAACTCTGTTTAGTAACAGTCATATCAGAAAATGCATTTTGATTAATCTAAACACAAAGGGAGAAAGGAATAAATATGTAATCAAAGATTGGTTGAACGCAGAAGGACAAGCAATAGGCTCAACACAATACAAATTTCGAAAAAGTTCATTGTATAATGACAACATTCACAATTTCTGGTAATTCGATCACTTGGATATCAGCTTGGTAATCTAGAAGTAAAAACTTTAGTACACTTGCGGCTGCAACACCCTTAACTTGGCTTACCGTCCATGATTAAGAGTTTATTATAAATATAATTTCTTATACACGAATTTTCGACTTATTTATACAGTCATTGTCAAGTTTAAAAAATCAATTCAATCACAGGTCATGTTATCACAAGCACTGATTTCGAGATAGTATTACACGAGAAACATCATTATAAACTATTAATAAAAGAATCGTTAGTTATTAGAACAAGCTCCTTCTCTTAATGGTGCGCATAGCTCAGTGCCATTATATGTGTATTCTAACGGTATTCGATCGCATCTATGAGACAGGAAAAACATACCGCGAGGTTCAGGTCTATATTCTATAAGCGACGAGAAAAATCACGCCATACAAATGGACGAAAGGAGAAAATTAGAATAATGAAATAGAGAGATACGTTATAACAAAGACATAGAGAAAAGAAAACTACATCACACTATATATATATTCTTCTTAGTTTTGTTTTTACTTCAATGTAGTCACTATGTACGATTTTTTAAACCTGACAATGACCGTATAAGTAGGTCGAAAATTCGTGTATAAGAAATTATATTTATAATAAACTCTTAATCATGGTAAGCCAAGTTAAGGGTGTTGCAGCCGCAATTGTACTAAAGGTTTTATATCTACTGTTGCCCTTTAGTACTGAGAATGTTATCGGTAATCTAGAAGTGTTACCGCTGAAAAGAATGTGCCCGTAAACAACCAGTTAAGATCATGCCTAGGAAGGACAATGCGGTAAAATTAGCGAAATTGCCTTCTGTAACCACTAGTTGTGTATCTACGTGCTCAGTTTTTGGTTGCAGTTGATAAGCGAGTAAGAATTTGACAAGAATTTTCTCACATCATCATAATCTTATCTCAGATACGTTGTGAATTTCCTGCTTTTCTCAACCAAAAAAAGAAACGCATTTTGGTTGTATATATATTTAGTACAATAATAACTTATAACTTCATTCTAAGTCAAAAACTGAACGCAAAAAGGGTGAAGAAAAAGTGGTTAATTAAGTTAAAACTGCCTTTTTTCCAGATGAGAAATGTCTGTTTTTTCTTTCCATTATCCTAGATGAACTTTTGTATACATTTCTTGACTGCTTTTATGCAAATTACGTACGACAGGAGTTATTGTAAATAATTGGGCAAAGCGTAAAATCAAGAACTTAGAATTAATTTATGTGTTTAGCGATGACTATAGGGAATCTGGTCAATTATCAGAAGTTCGAACAATTTCAGTAACAGCTTTGACAATCACTCCTCAAAAGTTAAATATTCCGAATCGAATTTCATAGAGTCAGCAGCCATTTGATGTAATGTTCGATGACAAAAAATAGTTCGCAAATAGCCTGTCATGTTCATGCACTATTCTTTCTCTCTCTCTCTCTCTCTCTCTCTGTTGAATTAATTAGGTCTCTAACACACATACGACAGAGACCTAAAAAACAGAATTAATTAACCTCGTTTTAATCCCTCTATTTTCGGTGCTTGTTTTCTGTACGTGATTCTTTTTCCTGATATAAGTTCTTTTTCTTTCTCATTTACAAACATACACAGCGAAAACACGAAGTACATTGATATAATGGAAAGCTTGTTTTAAACATATTTCGTTCTGCTTTCTACCACTTCACACCAAAGAAAAGGAAATGGTAGTCGGTTCAGCTGAATTTAACACCTCATCAGCAATAGCAGCTCATAATCTTCATATTTCATTTCCCATCGCGACAATCACGGGCTCACTCGTCGGTTTCATTTTCACACTTCTTTCGCTGCAGCGTTACGTACGAGTAAGACACACTCGTAATTACTTTTCCTATATGTTTCATCTCAGTCTGTTCTATTGTCCATTGATCGGACTTATTGGCAGTCCAATGCAACTCGTAGGATATTATCTGAAAATATTCGACACAAATCGTTTCTATTGTCATCTCTACTATATTATTGTAACGACTGTTGCCATTGCTCTGCCGACATCCGTGGCATATGCCAGTATCGAGCGGAATACGGTCATATTCCACATAAACAAAAAATTGACCATACAAAGACAACTGGTGCCGAATATGTTCATACTCTTTTACTCATTAGGCTCAGCCCTATTCTTAGTACTCACTCCACAATGCGTCTATATTCCATGTGTTCCATGTCTCTTCTCTCAACTGCCTCCTACTCTCATCTGGTTTTCATTACGTTTCCTCATACCATCAACAACGATGATCCTGTCTACCTTCATCTTTCTCTATCGTCTGTGTCATAGACAACAAAGAAAATCAAAGATGTGGCATCGGTCAATACGACGTATTGCACTACATATGATTATCTATGTTCACTGGAGCCTGTGTTATGGAGTAGCTACATCATTCTACAATCTACTGACCATGCTAGATTCATCCAGATACACATCAACACTGGCAAGAAGTGTAACAACAGTAATCGGCGTAGCCGGAATACAAACATATCCAATTTTAACCTATCTGTTGTACAGACAGAAGGCGCGGCCACTGCGTTCGTCACCAGGTGACTAGAAGATAGTCAAGTTCTACATTTTAGGTGAAATAAAAGCCTGAAGCTTTTGAAAAAGGACTAAGAGTGGGTTCATTATGTTTTTTTCAGAACTACGCCTCGGTACCAACTATCTCGGTAGCTGGTACTCGCTAGTCTGAGTAGATGATCTCTCAGGCATGTACACGTTCGGCTTTAGTTCTTCTTCTGTTGTGTACCTAGTTTGTTTTCCTTCGCTGGTTGTTCCGTTATTTTTTTTTAATTCATTTCTGTTTTTGTATTTTTTGTCATTGCGTCATTAATTTTCTGGCTATTGTATGTTTTTATACATTTTCTTGATATGGTTGCAGTGCCTGAGGGTACGAATCTTAGTTTATTTCTTTTTCACAGACAATACAAGACTGTTGGTCGGTAGATACGTGTTTGCATAGCATTCCACATGTTTCAGAGACCGTAGGTCTGAGTCACGTCAGCACACAGTGTGCATTTTTGACTAGGCAGGCAAACATGTGATTTTGAAGCAGTTTCGAGGTGCTGCAAAAATTTCTCATGTAGGTTTTCGGGTGTGCTCGTTCCAATGGCATCGTCTCTGAAGTACGCCTTTGCAGGTTTTTCAGAGATCGGATTGCCAGAAATCCTTCAAAAAACCGATTTCGGGCTTCGAAAGTGGTGCCATGAGAACGAGCACACAAGAAAACCTATAAAAAAATTCTTAGTAAACTTCTTCTCGCCGGAAAAACTGAATTAGAATATTTAGTAAAATACTTCAGGGAGAACATCTCGAATTTCCGAATTCCGTGAAATGTGACTTTGTTTCTCCAAAAATAATTTCCACTATACACCATTCGATGCAAGTTTTGCGCTGAATCCGAATATACTATTTTTATGTGATTCTGGATGATCGCAGTTTGAGAATATTAAAAAATACCTGAAAAACTGAGGATTTTTGAAAAATTCATATCTCGGTCTAGGAGTATTTATGCTGATTTATGCGAACTGTGTGAACGTGCCGTATATAGGAGAACATGC